AAATATAATTACACAAAGCTAACAGGCCATTGGTGCACCTGGATAACATTTTCTGGTTGTTTTTGCCCTCCTTGGAGCAATACCAACAGATCGGGTCATCAATCAGTTATACCCATCAAGTTACAGGGAAATTCTGGCTGCCTCACAAACAACCAGACAGTTCAGTTAAGATAAGGATTTTAGCAGAATTTTCCCTGAATTGACTAAACTAATTAGTTGTCTTAATTAGATGCACACAAAAACAAAAGCTAACTCTTCCTGGAAATAATTCCCCATTTAGGAGCTGTGTTTGTAACATCAGAATCAAAGCACCAAAGTTCTCCTCTCATAGACCTTTCAAGGTCTAGCAATGATAATAGAATATGATGATAATGATGACTATGATGATGATGATAATACAAGATTTCTGAAAAAAAACTTTTTATATAAAATTTCTCCTATTTAATATCAACAAATGCAAATACATGTACAAAGTACTTTTGAGACTTTAAAAAGTCAGTTAAAACTTTTCTCTGACATAACAGAAATTATACATTCCCTAATTCATCTCTCCTCCCATAGATCATTCAGTCCTTTAACAGTGAAGAAGAGCCCTCACCCACTGGTTCAATACAGCTTGCAAGTTGAGAGAATGGTTTACCCAGAATCATCAATTGACCCAATTATTAAATCCACACTTCAAAATAAAGGAAGATGTCAAGAAAACTATTCCTTTAATATTTGTACCTAACCACTTCCATGCCTGGCACAGCAGGGCCTGAAGAGCAGAAATCAAGCTCTTTTCATCTTTGAGTACTCCACAGCACTTAACCCAGTGACCTTAACATTGAAGTCACAATAAACTCTTCAGCCTTGAACAAAACAGACCAAGAATGTACAGAACCAAACTTTTAAGTTAATGTGACTCCATTTACGAACTCAGTCTAGAGTTTCCCAAAATGTGTTCCCAAAATCACTGGTCCTAATTGATGCTTTTGAAGAAATATGTTTCACAGCCAAAAATACTGGAATGTAGCAATGGTCCTAAGTCTTCTAATTTTACCTAGACTTAACCAACCTGGAGCTCTACTGTGAGATACACTTGGGAAATGCTGTCAGGGTCCCTTTTTGATGATTTACCATACATATTTTAAGAGTCTTTAGACTCTAAAAAGCCCCCCTAAAGGAGCTTGTTTGTTTTAGTGTAAAGCAAACACATTTGACTTCAGAACCCTTTCTTATTTAACACCATGGAAGGTGTTTGGAGAAATGTTTTTCCAAAAACTGAGACATCCTATAGGATGAATTATAACACCATGGGGCAGTTTACAGACTCTCCACAATCTCACGCTGCTACATGAAACACAAACAGACACAAAGGTGCCTCTGGGCTTATTAATCACCAAGTTGTACATAAAAAAGAAGAATTTAAATATATAAACATGTGATGGGAAGCAGAAATTTCAATATCTATGGAAAAATTATTACAACTAACAAAAACAAATTTTAATTACTAACTGAAAATCCTAATTGTCCCCCTCTTGCATTCACAAAGCATCAACTAAAATAAACTGTTTACTATGTTTAGGTCCCAAGATCACACGTCATCCACAAATGATTTATCCCCTTTAGTGTATATTTGTCATTCTTTTTAACTGGCCAGATCTGAACCCCTGCTCTAAGTTTGGAGAATGTTCTAGCTAAAGAGCAATACAAGGCTCCCATTATTTAAGTTAAAATTTGAAATCCAACTTTCCCAGCCTCTCTAGAAGCTAGGGCACTGACCTAAGATCTTGACCTTGACTGACTGCTTAAGATCATCCTGGGAAAGGTAACAATATCAACAGTAATAGCTATTCAGATATTTTGCATGAGGTGTATACTAAGTTTCCAGGGGGTGGTCAAATGACTTAGGCTTGGCCAATCAGCACATCTCACCATCCTGACTATAGAATTGCCTCAAGGATAGAGAAGTTAGTCCACTAGGATTTAACTGAAGATCTGGGTTAAATTTTTGAGAAGAAATTAGTTTTCCCATAGATATATACACATACACATATATATGTATATGTGTATGTGTATATACATATGTATGCATATACAAATATGTGTATATATATGTATATGTGTGTATATCTTTGTAAAAATATAAACATCATCAACTGAACTTGTGAAGCCAGCACTATCGCTGAGCACTCCAGCTGCATGAATAATGAGTTTTCTCTTTCATTCAGCTAGTTTAGACCAGCGTTGTTATGCATGATAGAATTGCCATAGACTCTCTCCTTGCAGGCCATGGTAGAGTTTGTACAGTAGCTAATAGATCCTCTTGTAACTGTATTATTGTCTCAGGGAAAGTGAAACCGTCAATACCGAAATTGAAGAAAGCTACCTGTCTCTCTAAAGCAGATATTGATAGTTTATGGAATCTTCAGCTAGTTGGGTATGGTACCCTAGAGAGGAATGGCTGAGGTCAATGTTACAGATTAGTTTCATCATGCTTCTTAGAGTCCTGTTGATAGTAACCTTAATTAAATACAACACTAGATAAAAATGAATGAATTTGGTCCTAGCCCCTGTCAGTAAGATTAATCAGAGTGACCAAGAGAGCACCATACTCATGAGAAAATTCACCAGAAGTCAAGAGCATATAAAAAAGGGTAGGTATTGTTGAGAAAATTCTCCATGGATCCCTCTCTTTCAGCACATCCTACGAAAGATTTTATTCTGGACTATCTTTTCCAAAAATGTTTATATAGCAAAGAGTTTAGAAAACATCTCCCTTTGGGACAAAGGGAAGTTCTGTTTGCCCTATAGGACAATAAAGCTAATGTCTCCTGTAAGACAAAAGTTGAGCAGATTTGCTAGCAGCTGCCTCGTGAGATTGAGAGTTTCCTAAACTCAGTATACCTCAACTGTGACACAAATCTCTGTACCCAGTATCTAGCTGGAACGCCTTTACATCATCCCCCATAGGACAGGGAAATTAAAGGACTGACACACAAAGTCTATGCTGTCTGCTAGACCATGCATAATAAAGCCCTTTGCTTCTGACCCAGAAGTTTCACGTCTTCTGCCAGCTCTATGAAACCACAACAGGATAACTTTGTATCTTGTAGGTAGGATAAAAACTCAGACTCTTCCACTTTTTGACAAAGACCCAGATTAATATATAGAGATGACATATGTAAGAGCTGAAGACTAAATATTGTAATTATATCAGTTCTCCCCAAATTGATCTATAGATCCAGTGCAATCCCAATCAAAATTCCAGCAAGATTTTTCATTGAAATTGATAAGTTAATACTAAAATATAAATAGAAAGGTAAAGTATTTGGAATCAAACTTGGAAAAGAATGAAGTTGTGGGATTTACATATTATTTGACCTTAAGTCTTACTATAAAGTAAAATAATCAAGACACTGTAATAATTGTATAAAACTAGACAAATAGTTCAATGGGACATAATAGAAAGTCCAAAATTACACCACATATATACGGCCAAATAACTTTTGACATAGAAACCAAAGTTAATTAAATGGGTAAAGAAGTCTTCTCTATATATAGTACTGTATCTACTGGATATCCATATATTAAATGTTTTGTTGATCAGGGTACCTGGGTGGCTCGGTAGGTTAAGCGGCTGCCTTCAGCTCAGGTAATGACCCTGGGGTCCTAGGATCGAACCCTGTATCAGGCTCTCTGCTCAGCTGAGAGCCTGCTTCTCCCTCTCCTTCTGTCTGCTACTCTGACTACTTGCATTCTCTCTCTCTGTCAAATAAATAAATAAAATCTAAATAAATAAATAAATGAAATTTTGTTGATCCCTACCTTATACCATACATAAGACCCAAATGACAAAGCTCTTTATAAGAAGATGTAAGCAAATATGTTTGAGACCTTGGGATAGGAAAGATTGCTTGGAAAGAACGTAAAAGGCATGAACTATAAAGAAAAAACATGGATAAACTGAAACTTCATCAAAATTTAAAACTTCTGCTCATCAAAAGATAAAATTGAGAAAATGAAAATAAAAGTTACATACTGAGAAGAAATATTCGTGATATACATTTCTAATAAAGGACTTGTATCCAGAATATATAAAGAACTGCTACAACGCAATAATAAAGCCAAATAACAAATTTCTTTAAAAAGGCAAATAACTTCAACAGATCCTTCACAAAAAAAGATTTACAAATGGTCCTATATATATGAAAAAATATTCAACATCATTAGTATCAGGGAAATACAAATTAAAAGCACAATTAGATAACACAGCATACTCTCCAGAATTGACAAAATTAAAGACTAATAATACCAAAATCCTGGAGAAAATGGAGAGCTACTGGACACCGGTAGAAGCTTAAAATGGAACAACTACTGGACACTGATAGAAGCTAAAATGGAACCACTACTATGGGAAAATGTTTGACAGATTCTTATAATGTTAAACCCTCACCTACATTAATATTTAGCAATTCCACTCTAAAGATATTTACTCCCCCAAAGTGAAAACATGCCAACAAAAAGGTCTGTACAAAAATGTTTACTGCAGCTCTATTCATAGTAACACCAAATTGGAAACAACACAAATATCCATTAACAGGAAAATGGATAAACAAATTGTGGTATATTCATACAATAAAACATTACTTAATATTAAAGAACAAGTTAATAATGCAAACAAAAATACTAATATATCATAAGAACAGTACCTTGAATGAAAGAATCCATACACAAAGGAATATTTTGGTATGACCTTATTTACATGAAGTTTTGCCTGAAGTACAGGCAAAACTAATATATGAAGCTAGAGATCCAAATATTTATTTCCTGAGGGGAATACAGAGAGAGACTGGAATGGTGCTCAAAAGAACTTCTTAGGGTGATGAAAATGTTCTATACCTTCACTGGAATCTTTGTTATACGAATGTATGCATTTGTCAAAAGTCATCAGCTGTTACGCTTAAATCATTGTATGTTATTCTCAATTCAAAATGAAAAAAATACTACAAAAAATGACTAAAAAATGTATTTTATTTAAAACTCATTTAGCTCCCAACTATTCAAGGTCTGACATCTAAACCAGATGGGTTGAACTTGAGATTATTTGCTCTGTATCCACAGGTGTTGAGAGAGATATCCTCTCTGACTTTACACAGCTATCAAGGCAATAATGCTAGGAAAACCATTAATCAAAATTTGATAGTGCCTATCTGCAATCAGAAGAAGAAAACAAAGAACACCTTGGACTATAAAAGCAGGTAAAACACACCCAAAGGATCTAGTCAGTCACAATGTTGACGTTCTTGCTTCTTGTGACTCTGGCCCTAGCATCTTCTCACCATTCTGGTGAGCACTTTGAAGGGTAAGTAAGCAACTCCTTAAAAGATTAAGTCCTCTTCCTTGCTATCCCAAAAATTTGAATGCACTACCCAATTTTAAATTTTGTCTTCTTCTGCTATCTCACCATTCAGTGAGAAGGTGTTCCGGGTCAATGTTGAAGACGAAAATCACATCAACTTACTCCGTCAGTTGGCCAGCACCACCCAGGTAAGTAATGATCCTGTAATACAGGTTTGCTTTACACTTACTTTAAAATCTTAGAATGCACTGTGATTCCCTCAAAGGAAGAATGACTAAAATATTAACCATAACAAGAAATAACTTGAAAAACATTTAATGCCACAATACCTTATTTTTCTGCCTAAATTAGATTGCCATGGCCCTATAGTATTATAAATCCATGAAAACTTTTTAAGGAGCTGACAGGACATGACAACTGGATGAGATGGAACTGTCACAAAGGTCACAGTACATCTAATGTACAGTCACTTCCCTTCGAAGGCAAAAGTGAAAAATGATCAACTTGGATATTACTGAAAAACTGGGCTTCTGTCCAACTTGAAATTCATTTCCACATCCCATATATCATCTGTTCCCTTTGATTTTCTTTCATTCCAAATCAAACAGCTTGAGTTTTCATGACCTTGATTCAGGCCCTCTTAACGATATGACATGAAGGGGTGGGGGGGCAAAGGAGGTAAAAGCCATGAATGATTTCCATATTTGTTTTTACTTTCAATAAACCAAAATCTCTATGCTAATTTTAAAAAATCCACTGTATATGGGGTGAGAACTGATATTTTTCATTACATATGCACTTAGCAGGAAGCTATTGCTGACCACAAATGGTTCACTTGGGCCAAACCTGTTTCCTCATGAAATATAAACCAAAATAATTTGCTAGCGCCTAAATATCCATCTCCTATCTATATCTATATCTATATCTATATCTATATCTATATCTATCTATCTATCTACCTTTTTATAGGTTTTTTTCTTTTAGCTTTTAAGGTATGGGGAGAAAAAAGAAGATACAGTATCATAATCTGAAACAGATTCAAAAGTTTAGAATTTAAAGAAAATAAAGTTGTTTATTCCAACTCAAACCTGGAATTTCCTCCATAGAAATATCATCCCTGGTTGCTAGTCCCAGTAACACCTGCTTGAGCACCTCCAGGGATAGCAGGAATACTGCTTTCAAAGTAGCCCATTTGCCTTACAAGTCATTCCAATTGTTATATGAAGCTAAAAGCTACCTTCTCCAACTCTAGCCCATTGGACCTAGCTGAGCCAAATACTGTGTCGCACTCTCTAAAATTTTTATTTTATTTTTATTTCTTTTTAATTTATTTCTTTTCAGCGTAACAGAATTCATTGTTTATGCACCACACTCAGTGCTCCATGCAATACATGCCCTCCATAATACCCACCGCCTGGCTCCCCCAACCTCCCATCCCCCGCCCCTTCAAACCCTCAGATTGTTTTTCAGAGCCCATAGTCTCTCATGGTTCATCTCCCCTTCCAATTTCCCTCAACTCCCTTCTCCTCTCCATCTCCCCATGTCCTCCATGTTATTTGTTATGCTCCACAAATAAGTGAAACCATATGATAACTGACTCTCTCTGCTTGACTTATTTCACTCAGCATAATCTCTTCCAGTCCCGTCCATGTTGCTACAAAAGTTGGGTATTCATCCTTTATGATGGAGGCATAATACTCCACAGTGTATATGGACCACATCTTCCTTATCCATTCATCCGTTGAGGGGCATCTTGGTTCTTTCCACAGTTTGGAGACCGTGGCCATTGCTGCTATAAACATTGGGGTACAGATGGCCCTTCACCCTCTAAAATTTATTTATTCTAGGCCTTCTATAGTTTCTCTTAGCATGGGTTTACAGACACCTGATCATTCTGGTCACCTCTGGATATAGCTCAATCCTTCTGTCTATATTTCTTTTTTAAAATGTAGCTTTCAGAATTGACAATGGACCCCTAGCTATGCTCTGATTAATACATACTGCAGGACCACTGCCTGTCTTCATCTGTAAAACAGACATTTATTAAGGGGGCCTGAGATTCTTTTCAACATCTTGAACAGTTTACAGAATAATCTTAGGTTATAACAAATATATTGGCCAATTGAAACCATTAGGTTATTCTTTTTTCACATGAATCACCCTCAAACAAGATATTACTTCTTCTTGCCTAATTTATTTTTTAACCTAAATGCAGGATTTTGGATTTATCCTGTTAAAATGTATCTTTATAGCCTGTTTTCAGCATGTTGAGATCATTTTTATAATGAATTCAGTCACCCAGGGGAATAATTCTTCCCCCTAACTTTATATTACCAGCAAGTTTGACAAGCATGCCTTTCCAACTTTTATCTTTGTCACTGATAAAAATATTAGGTCAATCAGGGGTCACCATAGAATTAGAGGCCTCCTTCATGGCTTATTCATTCAATACATACTTATCATGAGTTTCCAATGTGTTAAGTACTGAAAGTGATGCATTAACCAACCATCCTCAGGTAAGTTTGCTCAAGTATCCACATTATTGTTAGCTGTAGCTAACATTGTATTTTCTCGCTTATAAAGAAGAATATAAATGCAGAGGCTTGGTCAAACATTTTGCTAAGATCCAGAGTCAGCATTCCATCAGGATAGTGGTCTTTTTCAATAATAAGATGAAGTTCATTAGGCCTGACTCACTCTTGCTTTAAACCATGTTGGCTCCCAGGGATCATAGCTTCCTTTTCTGAACATTCACAATCCATCTGCTTCCAGTTTACTCTGCAGCTTTGCCAGAATCCATGCCAGGCCCCAAGGAGCTCCTGCTTCTGGAATTCACCTGTTTTCCTATTTCTGAAATCCAAGATTTACCCCCTCCACTCTTTAGTGATTCCTTCAAGCTCTGATTCCTCCAAGGATGCTGAGAAAGTTCTGCAGTCACACGTGCAGTGATTTTTTTAGTTACCTAAGATTCAGCATTTTAAAATAGTCAAGAGCAGAGAACCTGGACTCAGACTCCTGGATTCAATTCCTGGCTCTACCACTTGCTAGCTGGACCTTGGACACCTCTCTGGGTCTCAACTTTCTCATTTGTCAAATGAGAAGAATAGTATTTACCTTGTAGGATTGTTGTGAGATTTAAAGGACTTACATTAAGTCCTTTAAATCTTTAAATCACTTAGAAAGAACTTATATAATGATATCTATAAAAGTATTTGTTATTATTACCATCTTTAGAACTGGAACCTTGAATGCAATATACATGGCCACTATAATCCTTTCTCTACTCACCTACCTTAGGCCTCGATATTCTCTTTCCAAAGAAGGTGTTTCTGCTAAAAATCCTAACATGTGAAAATTTTTTTACTTATGGTAATTTTATCTCTCCAGAAATAGAAGAAACAAGAAAGAGTATACCCCCTGAGAAAAGACAAAAGTCAAACAATGGTTAAATAGACTGACTTTCTCTCTTTCAGCTGCAAACATCAAGCTTTAGCTCCAAGCAATGGGACTGTATGTTTGTTCTTTATTCATTTTATTTCCAACATGAATGAAAAGATTTTTATTCTCCTCAGCAATCTTGCAAGTGCAGCATAGTCTGGACTGTAGCCTTCCTGATAAGATCATTACAAGGGCATCTAGTCTTTGTATTCATCCTTGGCCATGTGTCCTTCCTCCCAGCTTTTGAACATATCCTTTTATAAGCTGAATGTACAGGAGAGCTGTGACCACATGGGACTCTGGTAGCCTCCCCTTTTCATCTGTAATTATACAGTAAGTGTTTTATTTCATCTCCTTGCAATCAGAGTTGCACTTGTTCCTTTATTGGAGACATTAACCACAAAACCTACTCTCTTTTCTCTATACTTTCTTGAACCCTGTCTCTCTATGATAAGGTGCAAGTTAATCTATGGCCAAAGTAACATGGTTACAGTCTTCCAGGGTTCCCAGTACCCCCACTATACTTTTCTACTAAGTTCTTCCCTGCTCTCTGGAACTAAGCCTCAATTAGAAGTCACTTCTTCTTCCAAGAGGAAAAGAAAATTCCATCATATAAATGAAAAGTCCATCAGATGTTCAACTTAGAGTCAAATGCAATGTGAAGAAACAAACTTATATAAATTTATAAAGAATCAAAGACTCCTGATACCAATATTTATTTTCTTCTAAGCCCTAAAAGAATGTAGAGTGGATAAACTACTTTATCTTGCTTTTATGCTGGTCTCTTAATATATTTAAGAAAGGCTCTTTAGTTATTAGCCAGCTGGCTGATTAAGTTGACATTCCCACAGTGTTATCACGTAAAGATACCCCATTACCACGTAAAGATACCCCATTATTCAGCCTGGGTGGCTCAGTGAGTTAAAGCCTCTGCCTTCGGCTCAGGTCATGATCCCAGGGTCCTGGGATGGAGCCCCACATCAGGTTCTCTGCCTGGCGGGGAGCCTGCTTCCTCCTCTCTCTCTGCCTGCCTCTCTGCCTACTTGTGATCTCTGTCTGTCAAATAAATAAATAAAATCTTAAAAAAAAATAAGTACCCCATTACCTTCCAACAAATGTTCTTTATGATTTTTTATAACTCAGCTTCCTAGAATTATAATTTTATAACCTCCATTTTATAAATTATTAATATATAATTCAATTCCCCATATCTCATATCATCTTTTGCTCTATTTCCATATTTCAGATATAGATCTCATTCACAAGGTCTTGGTAATTAGTGAAATGTATATTTACTTCCTTGTGATAACATTTTGAGTTTATTATTTGTATCCATACTTCATGTAATGGTGAACATCTATGAGGCTATAGAGTTGGTCCTGATTTTTGGCTCCACTTCTCCTAAGAAGGACTGGGAATTAACTTCAGTATAGTATGTCTGAATCACACTTGGAAAACTTCATACTGCTGGATGTTGGTATATATGTTGATCAATCTTCTCCATGTCAAAATGAAATCTTAAGGTACCTCAGGTTAGGTCTGCAAGTTTTCTGTCGAACATTTTCATGAGATTTATCTACCCCATTTTAAAGAATCCATCATTCTCCCTACAGAATCTTAAAACTCTCTCTCTCTCTGTGTATCTCTCTCTCTCCTCTCTCTCTGTACATATATAGAGATATGTATATGTAGATATGCAGATAAATATATAGAAAGAAAGAGATCAATCTCCCAATAATTAGGAGAACCAAGACTAATGAGCAAGAAATAAGACGTTAGGAAAGGCAACTTTCAACTTAATATAGCAAAGAAAACCCATTCATAAAGCAATTAGGCTATTCTGAAGTGATACTAAATTTACTCAAGATTGAATTAAAACCATCACCAAAACAGTATGTAGCTATATGCTGCTATACATGAAAAGCTAGTATCTTAATATAGATTCTTCAAAGCAGAATCTTAGACAAAGATTTCAGGCCAAAGATTTTGTTTGGGAAATATAGGGAATACTGCTAGAGGAGTGAGAAGTGATGTAGAGAAGGGAAGGCAGCTAACAAAGGGGATACTATTAAGACAGTTACCACAGAGTATGACTAGAGCTTAATCCAACAGAGAACTCAAGGAATGGGTGTGCAAATCATACAACTTAGAATTATTTATCCCACCTGAGAAACAAGGGAATTGGAGTATTTAGACATCTACTTTCCAGGGTCACTGGTTGAGCACATCTCTGGAAAGAGTTTGTTTGTTTGTTTGTTTGTTTTGCCATCCCCTGCTTACTGCAAGCTGTTAGCTTGGCTTTTTCCAGTTCTAGGGGAAAGAGCTTTCAAACACAGAGATGCGTATCTTGGCAGTTGGGAGTTCCCTGAGTATGCTGAAAGGTCCCTGCATTATGTATGGGTGCAGCTCTGTCAAGCTGCCTACAGATGCCTGGAGGGCTTTATGTGCTCTACCAATTCTAAACCTCTGTGTCTATAATAAAGATATACATCCCTGTCCCATCCCATCTTGGAATGATAAGCATTTATTAGAAACACAAATTCAGTTAACTTAAAAATATGCTTTCTTCCACAATGTGCTTGTCTTCAGTGTCCTTCTCTTTATAGTGTTGGCTAACTAGAATTCATCACCAGCCCCTAGCTTTTTCTGTTCTTATCATGGCATGTCTTCGTATTTCCCCTACTGTCTTCTAACCTTTCATCTTTACCCTCTCATCTTTGACTCACTAGATCACATTGTGTAGCCAATCCTTATCAAATCATCAATACTGTCTCCTTTAAACACCTTAGTGACAACCACACTCATATTTTTCTTCTGGAATCCCTTCTGATTTTGTCCCAATGTCCCTGCCTCGTACTGCCCTGATACACTCTACAGCCCTGACTCATGACTCAGCACCCACTAGACATCTACAGTGGTCTGAAGATTACCAGGACAGGACATAGATTATTGGATTCTCCATAGGCAAGTATATCTGAAATTGAGTCATCTTAATATCTTACCTATTAGTTTCTATTAAGTGACCTCTAAGTCTTGCCAAAACTCATTTCTAAGTTTCCAAGCAATGGTCCTAAATATCACCTGTCACACCTCCAGCCTGAGACCAGCTCATAAATACCTACACAGGGATTGGGTGAGAAACAGAGGCAGAGAAAGACCCATTGTCAGGCTCATCTCAAGCTCACTTTGCTCTGCTCAAGGAAGAAACAAGAAAACAGAAACCTGAGAGAGACAACACATCCTTGGTTAATGTTTTTCCATGGAAAAAGGAGATTTGAAACCACACATCCACAAAGAAAAAGATTAGAATTATCAAATATGTTATTCTGTTATTTTTGTGCATAATTTTCTCCAAAATCTCCCCCATAAGAACAGAAGCTATGTTTGATTTGCTCACTAGTGTACTCCTAGTCTCAGGCACAAAGCCTAGCACATAGTAGGTCCTTAGTAAAAGCTGATGAATAACTGAACAAATGAAAATGTCTGGATCTTTGAGAGCATTTTGTTTCTGGCCATGACGACAAGATGACCACTGGAGAAAGATGTACTTTCCTTTTCAATATATCCTCCACAGGTCAGAGATGTAGATCCTGGTTCTGCACATTACTGTGAGTGCTGAGTTCCAAGTACAAATTAATAAAATCAATCATTTAAAAAGTAAAAAGGAAAGGTCAATTTCTTTCTATTAAATTTTGTGGCTGTAGTTAATTCATCATCATTCATTCAGAACATTTATCCATTATCACAAACACTACTATCACAATAAGCAATTGCTCCAAAAAATCAATAAATAGAATAAGAGCCATTATAAAATACTGGTATTATGGGAAATTAACCAGCATTATGGGAAATAATTATATTTTCTTCATGCTTGATGATAATCAGTTAAGGCCATGTATATATATGTAAACATTTTTATTGACATACTGGTTGGTCCCAACTCTTGTTCACTCAAGGAGATATTTTTAAGAGATTTCATGGATAATTTGAGTTTGAAAATAACTCAATGAGTAGAGTAAGAGTGTGCTTGCTGATGATAATTCACCCATTGAATTATAGGTGTCAAACATAATATATTTTACTCCTTATTCAGATTGACTTCTGGAAACCAGATTCTGTCACACAAATCAAACCTCACAGTACAGTTGACTTCCGTGTAAAAGCAGAAGATATTTTCACTGTGGAAGATTTTCTGGAGCAGAATGAACTACAATATGAGTAAGTTTATGTTTTATAGCTATTAAAATTCTCTCCTATGTATGCTCTCATATGAGCCTCTGAATAACCCTGGGAAAGTAAAAGTAAGACCAAGACCATGGCTTCCCTGAGGCCCCACAAATAGCTGATGGCAAAATTGGCTCTAGATTCCAAATTGTAAGACTTTAAGCCTGGTAGATATTTTGTTTAGTTCTTATTCCAATAAAAAAAAATGTTTTTGACTCCTGAACCCCAATTCAGCAAGATATCTGACCTGCTAAATGGTTATATATAGACTATAGGCCAAACCAATGAACACTGTTATCAGCTAGACACTGTTTTAGTCCCAAATAATATCAAGTCTTCCTTCCAACTGAGCAACCAGACCTATTAGGAGCTTTAAGGACTCCTCATGCTCCTTACTTTTTGTGTATGCATGCCAGACTCAATCAATATTTATTTCAACTTAACCATTCATATATTTTCTTATCATTTGATTATTTTTTCATCATAATAAGTATACTCTTTAATCTCCATCCTCTATTTCCTCCACTCCCCGACCTATCCTCCCTCTGGTAACCATCAGTTTGTTCTCTATAATTAAGAGTCTGTTTTTTGGTTTGTCTATCTACTCTTTTTATTTCCTTTGTTTGTTTTGTTTCTTAAATTCCACATATAGTATTTGTCTTTCTCTGACTTACTTCGTTTAGCATTATATTCTCAAGCTCTATCCATGTTGTTTCAAATGGCAAGACTCCATTCTTTTTTAAGACTAATATTCCATTGTGTATATATGCCACATCTTCTATATCCATTCACCTATTGAAGGACACTTGGGGTGCTTCCATAATCTGACTACTTTAAATAATGCCACAATAAAAGGAGAGGTGCATGTATATACTTCCTGGATCACAGAGTAGTTCTCTTTTTAATTTTTTGAGGAACCTCTATACTTTTTCCACAATGGCTGCACCAATTTGTATTCCTACCAATGGTGCAAGTGGGTTCCTTTTTCTCCACATCCTCACCAATATTTATTGTTTCTTGTGTTTTTTATTTTCACCATTCTATAGATGTGAGGTGATATCTCATTGTAGTTTTGATTGCATTTCCCTGATGATGAGTGATGTTGAGCATTTTTTCATATGTCTGTTGTCCATCTAGATATTTTCTTTGGAGAAATGTCTGTTCATGTCTTGGCCCATCTAAAATTGGATTATTTGCTCTTTTCAATATTCGGTTGTATCAGAGCTCTTTATATATTTTGGATACTAACCCTTTATCAGATATGTTATTTTCAAATATTTTCTCTGATTTCATAGGCTGCCTTTTAGTTTTCTTAATTATTTCCTTCACTGTGCAGAAACTTTTGATTTTTATATAGTCCCAATAGTTTATTTTTGTCTTTATTTCCCCTGCCTCAGGAGACATAGCTAGAAAAATGTTGCTACAGCTGATGTCAGAGAGACTACTGCCTATACTCTCTCTTCTAGAGTTTTTATGCTTTTGAGTCTCACACTAGATCTTTAATCCACTTTGAGTTTATTCTTGTGGATGGTGAAAGAAAGTAATCCAGTTTCATTCTTTTGCATTAGCTGTCCAGTTTTCCCAATACCATTTGTTGAACAGAATTTTCCCCATTGTATATCCATTCCTCTTTTGTAAATATTACTGACCATATAATTGTGGGTTTATTTCTAGGTTTTCTGTTATAATTCATTGATCTATGTGTCTATTTTTATGCCAGTACCATACTGTTTTAATTACTACTGCTTTGTAATATAACTTGAAATCCGGAAATGTGATACCTCCAGTTTTGTTTTTCTTCCTCATACTCCTTTAGATTAAGGACAAGACTAGGGTCAGACTGAATGGTTCTCTGTCCTTTTATCCTCCACAGCCCCCACCACTATTTCTAATGATAGAAGTCATAGAGAAAAGTACTAAAAAAAAAAAAAAGAAAGTGATTCCCCAGAGGCCTAGAACAGAGTTAGCTAAGCTGATCATCACATGTCTCCTCTCCCCAAATACCACACTGGTCCATGTAAGCCTTTTCAGATGAAAGTGTCTTCCTAAGTAGAAGCAGTTGTCCATTGTTGAACAACAAATAGACAGTAAGTGCCTACCTATACCAAGCACCATAAAGGATAGATATGGTCCCAACCCCTTCAGAGGAATACAGACTTTAAACAAAGAATTTCAGAATTGTGTAACAGATGTTAAGAAGAATGAAGTGCTAGAGACATAGGGGAATTGAGCAGCTCTGGGAATCAGGGAAGGCCACCAGAGGAAATGAGTCTTCACCTGAGAACTTAAAGATGAGCCAAAGTTAGCCAAAGAAAAGGAAAAAATTATACTCTAGGCAGAGAACAGACAATATGGTAAGCTTAGGACTGAGAGAGACCACGCTAACCTGGAGGTATTTGCACTAGAGAGAAGAAAGTAATGAGGTCTTTTGTCCAAAACAGTTCTTCCTCCAGGGAGTGGATCAGTAAGAAGCAAAGAGGCAGTATCAAGCTCCAGTCCTGAACACTCAAATGTTTATCCAACAATACCCCACCACAAGCTCAAGTCTTCATTAATTTTGAGTAAATGTAACTTAAAATTTTTTAACGGAAATTTTCTCTTGTTTTTCACATCTTAAAAATATCGAATAGTATTTATGCTAGTGAAGATGTCAGAATTATTACCTATAAAGTCTGTATCTCATCAGGAGAAGTGGTACAATATAACATAACAAGTAAATGCTCTAGGAAAAAACAAAACAAAACAAAAAACAACCAGATTCAAGTCCTAACTCTGCAACTTCCTGAATGTGTAACCTTAGATAATTTACTTAATTTTTCTGAACTTCAGTTTCCTTATCCATAATATGAAGATATAATACCTCTTCCAAAGGACTGTGAAGATGAACTAAAACAATATGTAAATAAATTGCTACTGGCATTACTATTGTTATGGTTTATTATTATACTAAGAGAGAAATGAAACATTTCTTAAAGGTCAAGAGAAATTGTTTTGCTTAACCCCATTATCAGGCTTCATATAGCTTAGCTATCTGCTTCTACCTAAGGGAAGTGTCAAAATGTGACCATAAGAATGGACTGTCTTTTTAAAACAAAGATATAACACAGTTAAGTTTCAAAATTTGATTAAGATTCATGTCTGTGACTTTTTGCTCTTCTTATTACACTAGGAAGAATTTTTAAAATCCTAGCCTTTAGGAGACTTTGTAATTTTTTTTTAATATTTTTTTAACGACAGTTTCTTTATGATTCTTTGAGAAAAACAAAAGGAAGATTAGACACCATAAGCTAACCCTAGCTACCTAAATGACGTCCTAATTCTACCTATATCACAAAGTAGCAATATGGCTTCTAATTGCATATCAATCTCCCTTTATCAGATGGAAAATTTATATCTTTTTTTAGTGGATAAACTTTTTGGGAATTGGATATGAATGTTATCTCCTCTAGAACATTAGAACAAGAGCTAAACTCTTGTTAATTTTTGCTTCTCTGTTCACTGCTTAGCACACATGTAGCGTACAATTTTCTAAATATTAAATAATTATAAGTCCTTAGAGACTTTATTGCTGGAGGAGCACACCAGCAATATCCTAGCTGGGACTGTCAGCAGTCCCTGTGCATCCCATTATTATCTCATATGGTAACTAATTTGTATTTAGACAGTTTCTTGCTGGCAAGAATTTGTAATCATGTTTATATCCAACAGGAACCATCTACTACTGCACAAGTTCCACCAAAATAGCTTTGCAGATTTTTCCATGGTTCCATCCCTCTTCACCAAGACTTGTTATCACTTTGGAAGCTTTAACCAATTTCTGAGTTGCCATGGGAAAAAATTCAGAATGTGTGCACCAAGAATAATAACTGTATTTTTATGTTTATTCTGCACCCTTAGATACAGAAAGACTAGGAAATGGATGGTGCAAATCTCCAACTTACTGTTCTGAAGCCGTTAACAGACTTTTTGGTGGGCAGGCTTTCACAGAATACCTTCTTACAAATTACAGGAATGTTGTCTTTGCCCTATCCAATCCCGGGAGAGACTGATTGTTACTAATATAACTTCCTATAACATTATTTTTCTGTGCATTTCAGATTAAGACAGGAACATGTCCTTGGATAGCAATGGGTACATAATAGTGTTCTTCACTAGCAATGGGCATGTAGTAGAGGAACTAACCAAATACTCATTTTTCAAGAATGTATAAGGGGGGAAAAAGTGAGTGCCTCTTCTCAGATATTCTGTTCCTTGTTTTTCTGGGAGTCCCTGTTATCTAATTCGCCTGCATGTTTATAGAAAAGAAGTTGGATAGCACTATAAAGGAACATATGAAAGTATAAACAGTGTACACGCCTCTGTATTTTGGAGCTGTAATGCAGTCTCTATTACATTAAGAGGCATTGTTTTAATCTCCTAGAATAGAAGCTCATTATTTAGTAATAATATTTGTAATATAGCTTAAGTAGTGCTTTGTCTTAAATCTAATAAAATCAAATAATCACAAGGCTGGAAAGGATCATTTGAGGTCAATCCCCTGCCTTCAGGCAAAAGTAAGCACCACATTTCTACCTCATTTTGATGCTCTTTTGCAACTTACTAGAGGGTACTTATACTCCTGGGTGTCATCTTAAATTTAACAGGCTGTTTGCTTGTTTTTTTTAATGCTTCTTTGCCCTAATTATTAATGTAAAGATTTAATAGTTAACATAGTAATGACTCTAACAGAATGCCTCATCTAACTACCAAACAAAACACTAATCCCTACATAGTCACTGATTCTCCTAAATAATGTGAATTTGAGGATTAGGTGCAGAGAAAGGATAGCAATATTTTGTGAAAGGTCTATTGCCCCCTCTACTCAGCGGGTTCCTGATAGATCACAGCTTCCTATGGTTATGGTCTTAGATCCAGTTGAGGCTGTGGAATGCCCGGGAGCATTTAAGTGATTATTTCTTTTCTCTGGGCACCACTAACAATCCATATGACCTAGATGATATTGTACTCACTCATTGACAATGAAAAATCTTGTTCAAGTGATTGTTCAAGTAGATGTCATTTACCATTTCCTCTTGGAGTTTTAGTTTTGCCATTCAGCCAGAAAAGTTCAACCTTATTATACAGCATTTGTTCTTTCAAACTGATGATTTCGGTACATAGTTGTTTTCTTTAAGATTTTGGCCAGTCGATTTTTTTGTTTCAAAGGTTTTTGTTTTGCTTGTTTTGTTTTGTTTTTTTTTTTGTTTTGTTTTTAGTTTTTATAAATGTTGTATTTGAAAATCATTTTCCTAAACTATCTATTTTAGGTGTTTCCTGGAGTTTATGAAGTTTATGGTAACCAGAAATTTCAGTTTAAATTTTTTTTCATAAACCTTGAAAGACAACTATGACCAAGGCCTACAGATTTGAGTCAAGTCACTGCATTTTAGAACTGAAAAGGACATTTAACATCAGCCAATCAAATGCCCCATTCTAAAAATTATAAAAGTAAGGCCCAGAGATTAAATGATTTTTCTGAAGCCAGTTTATAAGTTAGGCAAAACCATGACCCCTGACCTTTCGGTTCTAATTCTGGATTCCTTCTACTTCTGTCCTATCCCCTAACAATCCAATTTGGGTATTGAATATAATTATAGCACTTACTATAATCATTGTTATAGTAACAATGCCTAACTGAAGCAGGCAGAATGGTGGTCCTGCCCCAAATGTCTATATCCTAATCCCCAGAATACCTGAATGTGTCACGGTCCATGCTGAAGAGGAGTTAGGTTTGTAGATGGAACTAAGATTGTTGAGCAGCTGAACTTAAAATAGGCAGATTATCCTACATTGTCCAGAAAGGTCCAACATGATCACAGGGTTCTTACAAGTGGTAGAGGGAGACAGAAGACGGGGTCAGAGTGATGTGACATGTAAAGGACTTGAGCTGTCATTGCCGGGTTCAAAGTTAAAAGAGAAGGGCAAAGAACCAAGGAATGTTGGCAGCCTCTAGAAGCTGGAAAGGGCAGGGAATCGGATTCCCCCCTAGAGCTTCTAGAAAAAAGCACACCACTGCTGACACTTTGATTTTAGCCCACTGAGACCTGTGTTGGACTTCTAACCTACAGAACTGCAAAATCATAAATTCATGTTGTTTTACATCACCATATTTGTGGTAATTTATAGCAGCCATAGAAACTAATACACTAACAGAGTATTAATGGCTGCTCAAGGAGAAATTTTCTTTCCACAAGCTAAATCTTAAAATCCGCTCCTTTTCTCTCTCTCTCTCTTTTTTTTTTTTTTTGTAATACCACCTTAAGATAGTTAAGACCTTAAGACAGTATTTGCCACTTGCCAGGAAGAAAATATCATTTAGTATTAATTTACTGCATTTTCCACAAACAGACACAAGTTCATTCCCAAGTTAACCAAATGAAGGAGAGACCAGGAGGAAGGTTCAGAGGATGTCCCTGACATACTTCATCAGAATGCCCTTGGGGCAGCCACAGGAGAAGTAGACTTTTTGATGTGTGGCTGCAATTCTCTCTGTGTCAGATAAAAACATTTCAAGGCTTGACTGTGGATAATAGAAGCTTCTGCAAACTAGCTTCTGTCCATAATACTCACAATGTTGTGATCAAGAACATTAATGGTCACAAAATTTTGTCCTTTCAGAACATACTTTCCTCTCAGCAGTAGCAAAGACGAATGAAGTCACACACATCCACACATTCCAGCCTGCCTTTTATAATAGAAACTTTCACCTAAACAATCCCTTATAGAAATACACAGGCCTCAAAATTCTGTCACCAATTTTCATACTACCTTGCTTTAGAACCATTCTTTGGTTACTTTAAACCAGCCAAAAGACAAGCAAGCAAAAACTAGTTCTTTAATCCAGCATTTTTTGCCTAATAAATATTTAGCTTATTAATATTTCTGAATTTCTACCTTTCAAGATATTTTTCTCAAAACCTAGAGAAAGGCCCTCAAAACCTAGAGAAAGGCCCAACTGTCCCAGTTTACCTGGGATGGACTGGTTCCTGGGACATGGGACTTTCAGTGCTAAAACTAGGAAAGCCCCAAGGAAAAAAGTCCACAGATAGGACTCAATTGCATACTTTTGGGTGGCAGCCCAAGGCTGTTCCAGAATGCTCCAGGTTCCAGAGGAAACCATTTTCTGAATTTACAGTCCAAGGACACTTAAATATGTCAAGTTTAGGCTGAGAAAGGGTCTGCCTTGCTTGCAGTCTCCAGTGATATATTCACTTTCTGTGATGAGCAGCTCAGGTTGAAGGGTATCAGGGACACTCAGAGGACAAGAGTGACTCCATGGAGAATGTACTGCATGATTTACTAAGGCAGCAACTCTGCTTTTTTGCATGTTCACTGGGAAATACTCTTATGTTCACAGGAGCACATCCTTTGGTTTATTGCAGGGTGTTGATAAGCAACCTGAGATCTGTGCTGGAAGGTCAATTTGACAGCCAGGTCCGTTCAACTGGACACAGTTATGAGAAGTACAACAAATGGGAAACGGTATGATGTGCTCATGATTTAGACAGACATTGTTATGGTAACTGAACTAAGAATGGCACATTAATCTACAAATGGTTGCATTGGTAGATAGAGGCTTGGACTCAACAAGTCACCAGTGAGAATCCAGGCCTCATCTCTCGCAGAGCCATTGGAACCACATTTGAAGGACGCACTATGTACCTCCTCAAGGTAATTATTTTTACCCATGATCTTCCCATATCTGAGAGCTTTAAATCAATGAATTCTAACACATTAACATCTGTTCCACAGACATGCTCATCCCAAACATTGTTATAACTCTTTCCCTGCCTATATGCCCCAGGGAGTCAAACAGATTCCCCAGCTTCTTTTATCATATGTGGATTTTTAAATCATTATTTTGATTTATTCAAAAGGAAAATGCAATAAAATACAAGAAGTCCTATAAATTTAACCACATTCCTGTAAGCAATGTAAATGATTACATACCTTGATGAAATTCTTCTCTCCCAGATGTTGTTTGCAAATCCATTTGTTAAAGAGCTTCATAAACTTCACGTCTATCAGACAACATTGCAGAGTGTATCAACGATATGCTTCTGTCATTCTCTAATGCCATTTTTGTCATGTAATTCTAATGAAGAAAATAAAAAGACAAGGAGTAAGTAGGAGAGAAGGAAAATTCTTACAAGATTAGCAACAATCATCATTACTTCTAATTACTCATCCAGTTGTCTTGGTCATGTCACCTAATAATAGCAGCTGAAAATAACCTCCACGTGAGTACAATTAAGCAGGGTAATCAGCATCTTCTGAAAATTTGAGCTTGTCAAGCTTCATAAAAATAATAAACAGCCATGTAAGCTCAAACATTGTACCTAGAGGCAAGAACATACTGTGCTAGGATTATGTTTTAATTTAATCATGGGATATATCTCTTGCTGCTGTCAAGTTTCACCTGTTGAATCCAAAGCCCAGACAGGTAGCGAATGTTAACCCCTGACTGTGATGAATCACAGTTCCCCTTTTTTTGTTTGCAATAGGTTGGCAAAGCTGGACCAAATAAGCCTGCCATTTTCATGGACTGTGGTTTCCATGCCAGAGAATGGATTTCTCCTGCATTTTGCCAATGGTTTGTGAGAGAGGTCAGTATGTAGAATCATTTTTGGTGGAGGGAAGTAGAAAGTATTTTGTTTATTTAAATCAATTTCTTATAATCTACCTATAATAAGAGAGAATAATAACAGAAAAACTTTGTTAATTCCAAGTTCCCATTTTTGGGTATTAGTTTCAACTTTCACCAAGAGATCTTTATAAGGTAAGATTTTAAAACAGCTGCCAAACTGTATTTATTTATATTTGACTCATCTGAACTTTCTCACCTACCTTTGGTGGAGAGACCAACCAGTAGTATAATACATAGGTCATTTAAAATTTAAAGATTGTGGACAAGCCACTAGGTTTATTATTATCTCCTGAACAATAATCATTATATACTTCAATGGCAATCCCACTATAAATGATACTGTTTTTCATTCCTCATAATTCTAATGATAAGATATATGTGAAAACCCTTCAACTGAAGTTTTTAAACATCTATGAGCCCATACTAATGTAGATAAATTATTCAATAAATAAAAAGGAGAGAAGGAATAACTCCTTCTTAAAGAAGAATTAACTAATGGATGCACAAAGAATGAACAAAATAGAAAACTATCATTAGAACACCACAGTAATAATCATTTCACGAAAACCTATGTACATATGTAAAATTAGTGAGTAAATGTTTAAAGACAAATAGGATAATTCCTATCTCAAAGTATCCCCCCCAAAATATGTATTACATTACAAAGGCAAAGTTTACAGTAGAGAAACTTAGTAGAAATTACTTAACCAAGTGATCAAGGTTAATATCACCAGTAATATCACCATCATTAAGACATAATCAGTATCATGTACCCCCTGATATTATGTACTGAAAAGACACATCATCTGTATGGTATTCTTCCTCAAAATTCATAACCTTCCTCTAATCATAAATATATATATAGAGAGAGAGAGACAAACCTAAATTGAGGGAACTTCTGCAAACTAACCAGACCAGTACTCTTCAACTGTGTCAAAGACATAAGAGACAAGTAAAGACTGAGAACTCACAGATAAGAGGAGACTGAGGAGACATGATAACCAGTGAAATGTGGGATTGTTTGTATATTGGATCCTAGACCATAAAAAGGATAATAGGGATGCCTGGGTGGCTCAGTCGTTGGGCATCTGCCTTTGGCTCAGGTCATTGATCCCAGGGTCCTGGGATTGAGTTCCACATCGGACTCCCTCCTTGGTGAGAAGCCTGCTTCTCCTTCTTCTCCCTCTCCCCTGGCTTGTGTTCCCTGTGTAGCTAGCTCTCTGTCAAATAAATAAATAAAATTTAAAAAAAGAAAAAGAAAAAGGTAAGAGTGAAAAAATTAGTGTTATATGTAAACAATGAATCTTGGAATACAACATCAAAAACTAATGACGTACTACTATATGTTAACTAACAACATACTAAAAAAATAAATAAATAATTGGTTAACTCTAAATAAAACCTATAATTTAACTTTATTATTGTGCTAATGTTAATTCCTTCACTTTGATCATTGTACCATGGTTAAGTAAGATGAAAACATTAGGGGAAGCTGAGTGAAGGGTATATGGAAACTATTTGCGACTCTTCTCTAAGTCTAAAATTACTTCAAAATTAGAAGTTTAAAATATTGAAGTATTTTTAAAATTAAGAATATTATTATATACAATATACTGTCTTTTGTGTGAAATATTTCTGTATCTATTTGTCACGGTCTTGGTTTCTAGACATGTTATGTGTCCAATTAGAACCATTTAACTTCAATGGATATCTCACCATCTGCCCTCTAGAATGAAGACATTTTATCACTACTTTGGTCATCTCCAAGATTAAAAGAATGTGGTTCACTAAAAGAATGTGGTTCTATAACTCCTCCAGCCTAAAAATCACTTATTTTATCATGTGCTATTATAATAAATACAATGTAGAGAGTCACAAAAAGTATATAAAAACTATTAATACATAGAAGCCTTAAATATTTTAAAGTCTATTCAAGAAAGCCTGGGAAAGAGTTGAATTTAAGTTTAATATGATCCTGGGGCTGGGGAACTATGACTAAGAGAACCTAATAAATGACCATGAAGTCCTTCATTCATAAAGAAAGTCCTTCATTCATAGAGAGATCACTTAGAAATCATCACTTAGCAAGGAGAGCTAGTCTCTTAAATCTTACTCAGTATAGAGGAGTAAGAAGGATACTTTGATCATTATTCAGCCTGGAGCCTTGGTGAGAGCCACCCAAAATCCATCAATGTGAGCTCACTTCATAATGGGAGGCCTTCTCATTCTTCTTCCTTATTGGACACACTCTCTAGTGTGACCATCTACAGGAGGTTTCACAAACTTAAATAAATTTCTAGATGATATTAGAAACATGCACAGCCATCCACAGACATTCTTTACTTACTAAGTATAGGTCTTACCCTCACATCCTACTGACTCTGAAAAAAAATTATTGCAAATAAGTAAATATATGTATGTTTCTTAAAAGTCTATAATTTTGTTAAATCTTTTGTTCATCTTTAAAGTAAAAAGTGAAATAATTATGTGAGTTATATATGGATATAATAGAATATCCCGGAAACAGAGAAGAATTAAAAACAACTATTTTAACCAAAATTATGGGTAATATTTTACTAACTGCCTTTTAAATATTAATAATGTCTACCTCAAAGAGACATGGCTTCCATTACCAAAGTCAATATTCACCCAGTCTATGTAAATTTTAGTAGCATCACATATTCCATATTTCCATGAAATTCTCTTCCTAATTCATACTTAGGCTATCCGCACCTATGGACAAGAAATCCACATGACAGAACTTCTCGACAAGTTAGACTTTTATGTCTTGCCTGTGGTCAATATCGACGGCTACGTCTACACCTGGACCAAGGTATATGAGCCAATACTGAAAGGGGATGATGAAATTAAAACCAACCCACTTTCTATTATACTTGGCCTAACCACATAATCCACTTTCAGAACCGAATGTGGAGAAAGACCCGTTCCACCCAGGCTGGAACTACCTGCATTGGCACAGACCCCAACAGAAATTTTGATGCTGGTTGGTGCAGTAAGTATCGGGATCACCATTTTGCAAGCATCTGTTGAAAAGCACAGAAGGAAAAATAACACAGGAAAACATAACAGTGTCTAAAACAAGAAAAAATATAAAATTTTATATTTTAGAATTCTAACTTTCTGAAAGCACAGACAATAAACGGTTTATTTATTCACTCAAAAAAACTTACTGTGTGCTCTACTGCATTCCCAGCTGTGTTAGATGCTGGAAACACAAGACTGAGAATCCAGATGTAATCCTACTACTTTGAGATATATAATCTAGAGGACACAGTCATTAAATAATTATTTAAATAAAATTGTGATATAATTCTATTTTTGTGATTCAACTCTCAGAGAATGATTACAGTAATAAGGAAATTTCTCATGGATATTAGTTTGTCCCCTAATTATTAATTTTTTTACACTATATTGATCTCATTGTATATTATTACACAGGGACACACTGGTGATTTCATATGCAACTTTTACCCCGTAAGCTTAAAAACGTACCACCCCTAATCTTGTGAGTAATGCATGCATGCTTTATTATATACATATATACATACATTATCATAAGGACCCATGTAAAAATAGCTTATTCTTAACTTTCTAATTTGAAAGTCTGAAACATGCCTTGTGGTAACTTCCATAGATGACCATTCCATTAACAACCTGTTTTTCTAGAAATCGGAGCTTCTCGAAGCCCGTGTGATGAAACTTACTGTGGACCTGCTGCAGAGTCTGAAAAAGAGACCAAGGCCCTGGCTAATTTCATCCGCAGCAACCTCTCTTCCATCAAAGCATATGTGACAATCCACTCATACTCCCAAATGATGCTCTACCCTTACTCCTATGATTATAAACTCACAGAGAACAACGCTGAGTTGGTAAGTAGTCATGGTAGTAAATATGGTATTTCACTGTTAAGATTTTCTTAAATCCTATTCCTGAGAAAAAATTCTAAGAACAATTTCTAAAGATTCCATTATTAATTACTGATAGCAGGAGTAAAAAAAAAAAAAATTACTACAGATTTACAAGGAATCCAGAATTGGCTAGATAAATTAGCTAAAAGATATAGGATTTTGATACAGGAAACAGTTCCCAACATGTTAAACTGGTTTAGTCTTCAAAATGACAATAGGTACACTTACCCTGGCTTCACCACAATACTAACTCACATAATGATTTCAGATGCATCTGGGATAATCAACAAAGTAGTTTTGTCTCACACACAATTAGAAAGTCAATTTTGTCAAGTTGCCTTGAGCTGGATTTGATATAGGCAGAAGCATGGCAGATGTCATTAGGAATCTGGCACATTTGGTTCATAAGATCCTAAAATTATTTCACTATTTGATTAGGTGAGACACAGAAATAAAGCAATCAATGAACAAATGGTATGACTGGATCCTTACTAGATACAGGAAGCAATGTAAAAAAATTTAAGTATCCATGACTCAAAAAACTAGCAATCTTGTTACAGAATCATGATATAACCACATGAAAAGTTAAATTAAAGTTTTATAACATTCACATTAACAAATATCACGTATCAATGCATAATTTTTTTAAACCAGAAGTTTTGAACCCTTCACACAATATTTTTTTTCTAATTTATGAAACATCTGGCTGCCAGAAGTTGGGACCAGTGATCTAAAAGAATAAGTGTAAGATTTAAAGCATTTGAGTTATGCCAAAAAAAAAAAAAAAAAAGCGTTCCACTTAGACAATGACATAGATATTTGGCTTACCTAAATTTGCATAAATTTGAAGACCCAGTAACTTTAACAACTGGAAACTGTTGTTTTGTACTTTTAGTCCTTCTGAAACCAAATAAAACATGTAATGCTATAAATATTTTGTGAAGAGTAAAACAGAAAAATAACTTAGCCTCTTAGAAAATTGATAGCTAATAGTTGGCCAGGTCCTCCTCATTAAAAATGACAATAATAATAATAATGTTATTTTCATAAAGCTTCCCATTTTCCTTATCCAGAGCCAAACCCCCCCCCCCCCAAAAAAAGGAAAACATCATTAGTTGGAACCTTTAACTATTTCAGTTTTCCAGTTATGCTCCATCTGTTAATTGTTCCCAGTGGGTGCTCACAGTCCTGCTATCCCAGAGATGGGTGTGGTCAGCTCCTCATTTCAATCCCAGATTTCAGTCCCAGAGGAGAGAAGGTGGAGCTATGTTGTTTGCTTTATTCATGTGAATATTTAAATTGTACCACATCAGAAAAGAAAAAGACAAAGCCATAATAACTATTAATGAGTTAATAAGCAAAATATTAAAACTAAAATTATAAACCATATTAAGTGTAACAATAATATATCCAGTTTGCTTAATATAGCTAGTTTTAAACACAAATTCTAAAAGACAAATGCTTACAGAAAAACAAAGTGTTCTCTGGAAATGAGCTTTTTCACAAAGTTTCAATACCTTTTCCTACTTGGGGAATAAGTTAATTCTAATTAACAAAGAAGTGGAATAAACAGAATTATATTACAATAAAATATTCATAATCTATTCTCAACAAAAGCACAAACCATAAAATAATCTTATCTTGGAAGTTTAATTATGTATTCACAAAACTAATAAATTCAAGAAGTACATGCTACTTCTTATACTTTCCAAGCATGATAAGAGAGGTGGCTAAACTATAAAATTTAATTGCACTTATATCACATTAATTGATTTTAAAGTTATTTTAATTTCTAATAATTTTTTTCTATGATTAATCTTTTGCCTAGCATCTTAGAAGAAATATTTAAATGAATGTTAATTTGATTAGTCAATTCATTGGGAATCTGAATTTAGTTCAGCACCCTAAAGCAACTTAAACCTTTTGAAAAACTAGAGATCCTTTCAATCTTCTTCTTATTTTGCATAATTCCAATTCACTTACTTCCTAAGCACATTTTGCTAGAACTCGTAACTGTAGTGTTAATGAGTATAAATATATGTGTGTATACATATATTTTTATATATGTATATGTATATACACACACATATATATTTATATATATGTGTGTGTATATATATATTTATATATATGTGTGTGTATATATATAATATATATATATTATATATATATAGCCAAATGAGAATTTGAATCTCTCATAAAGAAAAATATTGGCTTTTTCATGGTTTTTATTTGCAATGAGAATATTAAGAAAAAAGTAAAAGTCTTGATCTAGGCGTGATAAATGTTCCATCCAAATCTAATGCTTCTATATGAATTTTCAGCTAGAAAAATGTGACCCTGCTGTAGAAAACTAAAGGTAGGAAAAGATTTATAAGATGCCTTCTTGGCACACCACATTATGGATAACTCAGAATTTCTTAAAGTATTGTCTTACCTAGAATTCAGTGTATAGATATAGATATGATTCTTATTTATCTTTACACTTATGAAATTTGTAAGATTATATCTGTAGCAAAAAAAAAATGCTTCAAGGAGACTATGACTCCAAACAAAAGGAAATTATTCTGTACTTCTAGTAACATTCTCAGCCCAAATTTAGGATATACACAGAAATCTCTGATATCGGAGTCATGATAAAAATGTATGTGTCTTCATTTCTGAAAGATCTTACATGTAGATTGCCTGATTATTCACATCATGAGACAACCTTCAGAGTGAAGAAAGGCAGAGATGAGAATGCAAAAGACCAATGAGGTAAAAGAATAGAAGTGACAGCATGGATTACAAAGAAAGCTACCAAAAATATCTCTACAGCAGATCAGTAAAAAGAATGAGAGATCATAAAAATACCTTACATATATAATGCTTTTCAGTTTGCTAACTGCTTTTACACATACTATATTATTTAAAGAAAAAATACAAAGTATACTGTGAGTTTCCAATGGCTTCATACACCTTCCAGTTCCTCAGTGTTAACTTCTTCAATATGAAGCTATCACTATCTTTAAAGGAAGCTTTAAGATCCACGAGAATAATATACTTTACATTTTCAAAATTCTGAAGGATAATGAAATATTGAATTGTATGACCTCTTTATTGTCAGAGTAATTCTCTTTTTATTAAGAAGACTTAACTGAAAATGTTCCCAAACCTATCCATATCTTTGCATTTATTGAACATGCAAGAAGCTCCAAATCTTTGGTCTGCCTACCTACCCCAAAAAGGCATATGTGTCACTGTTACTTACTATTATTATTTATCGTAATACCATTTCTAAGTCCAAAGCAGGAATGCAAAATAATAACTGGTCAACCAAGTATCTTGACCCATTCCCCACACTGACCAAACTGGAAGTTGATATGCACTCCACAAAGGTGCTGATCCAGGGCATACATCTGACACCACATGTCTTCATTAAAAGCACAGAACTTTACAGCTGGAAATCTTGGAATTTCTCTGGTTCTGCTTTCTCATTTTCCAGCTGAAGCAATGAAGGCTTGGCTAAGCCAATACAGTAAAACAGGCAGCCTTGGGCCTAGACTTATTGGATCCTGAAGAATTTCCTAGACTGACCCAATTTCCAAAGATACCCACACATATTTGTTCACACATTTGGCCATGTTCTATGCTGGTACCCCATGTAGCTGTTTTACAGAACATTCATCAAATAGTCTTTCATCCCACAAATACCTCATTACCTCTGTCCCTGGACATTGCTAAGGATTTGCAGTGGTCAGCTGGGACACCTAAATTCCTAGGACCCAGTCTTTATCATTCTGGTCCTATGCTTTCAAGGGCATATATTCACTAACCAGGAGAAAAATGACAATCTTTCTGAAAAATTATTAAATTTGACCAAAAGATAAGAATCCACTTCTAAACTCTAACACCTTCCAGTACAGTGGCACCTCCCTATTAATTAAAATGTGAGTTAATGAGCCACCAAGATAGAAATCTACTGTTCCACCCAAGTACTGAGCATAAAGCAAGACCATGATTAGAGATAAACATAAAAATCAGAGGGAACAAATGTTGTGATTAGAAGGTAGATAATTGCAGGGCCATGTGCACACCCTATCACAGCTGTCCCCATGTCCCTGCCTAATAACAATAACAAGGCCATAACCCCTCCGTCAAGTAGGCTACCAGAACCTAAGGAAGACAGGACCTGAGGCACAAAATATCCACATCCGTTATCTTCTCAGAATTTTTAAATTTCACTTATAATATTAAAAAAAATCAAATGACAACTGCAGAATTTATTTAATTAGAGAAACTGTTGTTGATTTATCACTATACATTTTAAGAGACTTCTTGGCCTGTTAAGATATTCTTACAGAGGCCTGGTCAGAACAGAGTTCATCAGACAATTATCAGAAATTTCACTGAGTACCTATTAAATACTCAGCATAAAACATGGTTTTTGCTATTAAGAATGTAGGATCTTACTGAAATGGTAAGACTCATATATCAGAAACCATACAAGAGAAGTACAAAATTTGGAGTTTCAAACTAAGCACAGTAATAGGAATTTAGGGCAGGAAAATGGTAATATGTAATGAGGCTGGTCAGTGAAGGTTATAGAGAGGAGAAAAACCCCATTTATTCTGGGTCTTGAAGGATGGGCAGGATTTGGGCGACAAAGGACAGAAGAGTGCATTTTAGGCAGAGAAAAGAGCCAACAAATGGCCAGCAATAGGTCTGAAAAATGGGGAGAGAAGAAAGATCAACCTGTTTCCAGTGTTCTTGTGAAGGAAGAGGGAAAGTGAGGTAATGACATTACCCAAGAGACTTAAATGTCACAATGAGTCCTGTGTCACAGCAGGCCCTAGAGCCAGTAACTTGGTAAATAGGATTGCTGAGTCAAATACAGGGTTCCCAGTTAGATGTGAATTTCAGATAAACAATATAATAATAGTGTAAGTATTGTCCAAATATTACAGATTTATACTGAAAAA